TGTGTTGTGGCAGATGTTTTCAGATATACCATGGCAACCGCAGAACAGGATGTGCCTCTGCCTCTAGATTGCAGCAGGGACAAACCCACACTCTCAGACTGCCCTGTTCCACTCCCCAAGGGAAAAACTGCCCAGGCCCTGGTGTTGGTTCTAGAGATCCTATACTTTGGACCATGGGGGAGGATGTGTGCATATCCCTGCTGAAGGTTGTTTCTCCAGTGATCCTGCATTTGTGCCTCTTCGCCCTTAAAGAGGTACCAATGAGGCAGGAAGCAGAGGCTCTGGTCAGTGAACAAGCCACCCAATGTCTTTGTGGACATTACTGTCCTTGAAGGATGACTTATCTCAACCTGGACCAACTTTATACAATATACAAGACCATAGTTTCAGAGGGTTTACTGTGTGCTCATTATACATATATTTTGTTTTGTTTTGAGACAGGGTTTCTCTGTGTAGCCCTGGCTGTCCTGGAACTCACGATGTAGACCAGGCTGTCCTGGGACTCAGAGATCTCCCTGCCTCCCTAGTGCTAGGATTAAAGGACTGTGCCATCACACAAGGCTAGTGATACATTTTGTTTAAAGTAGAATCTCCCTATGTGGCCCAGGCTGGTTTCAAACTCGTAATTCTCCTGCCTCAGCCCTCCCAGTCGCTGGATTACTGCTATGTGCCACTGTACTTGACTTCCCTAGTAATTTTTTGGAACTCCACGATGAGGTTATTTCTATTTTCCCTTTTTTGTTGTTGTTTGGTTGCTTTTGTTTTGTTTTGTTTTTGAGACAGGGTCTTATGCAGCGTAGGCTGGCCTTAAATTCCCTTGAACCTTTGCAGATTTGAGTACCTATGGACCAACTGTGTGCCCTCCCCTTCTCTGCCTGTTAGTGCCCATGGCAGCAGCCATGCAGCATGGAGCGTGTGCCCGTGGAGAGATGTTTTACTTGCATTAGTAGTAGTGTCAGCAGACATGGTTGGCCCCACTGGTAGCACTGTCTTCCCTGCATTTGTGCACACAGCTCTTCTGCTTTTGAAACAGGGTTTTAGTATGTAGACCAGGCTAGCTTTGAATTTGGGATCTTCCTGTCAGTCTCCCCAGTGCCAGGTTGCATGTGTATGCACCTATGCTGACCTCTGGTCCTACTTTGATTTCCACTATCAGGAAGTGTAGGAAGCCTGGCTCTGATTCTCTCTTCTTCTGTTTTTGGAACAGCATCTATATGGCCTTAGTTGGCCTGGAACTCACTCGATAGCCCTGGCTGGCCTCAAACTCATAGACATTGACCTGCTTCTGTCTCCTGAGTACTGGTGTCCACCACCAGAGTCTCATGTAGCCCAGGCTAGCCTGAAGCTATGGTTCCTGGTCTCCCAAGTAGGAGTAAAAGGTGTGCACCACCACTTCTGGGCCGTTAGGTCTCTCCTGCCCTGAAGTCCCCAGTCGTCAGGTCCTGTCACTTGACCGTGAATCTCCTCATCACGCTCAATAGCTCTCACCTTCAAGGTGGGCAGTGGAGCGAAGGGCTTCTTGGCCTTCGGGACAAGGCAAGAATGCTCTGGAAACGTGACCTCTTGTAGCTCAGGCTAGCTACAATGGTGACCTTGAATTTCTGATCCTCTGCCTCCACCTCCTCAGTGCTAGGGTTACAAATATGAAACACCACACACAAGTTATTCTCTTTTTTTCTTTCCTTTCTCTCTCTTTTTAAAAAATATTTATTTATTATGTATACAATATTCTGTGTGTATGCCTGCTGGCCAGAAGAGGGCACCAGACCGCATTACAGATGGTTGTGAGTCACCATGTGGCTGCTGGGAATTGAACTCAGGACCTTTGGAAGAGCAGGCAATGCTCTTAACCTCTGAGCCATCTCTCCAGCCCTCTCTTTTCTTCTTTTTCTTTCTGGTGTTAGTATTGAAATTCAGCCTTGCACATTCTAGGAAAGTAGTCTACCCCTGAGCCACATCCCAACCTTGAGAATCAGCCTTTCAGTGTTAGTTAGATGTGGGTACATCCTCCTCTGGTTTGGGAGCTAATAAATGAAACATTTTATTTGCTGGAAGTTATCAAAAAAGGAATTTTAGGCTGAAGCTGGGCTCTTACATGTTTGAAGGTAACTAGTATATGGAAGTCACCTTGTGGAGCCCAGCAGTATGGAGCATGAAATGGTACTGACTTCTACAGGGCTGAAGGTCCACCTTCCTGTTACACCTGAAGGGGCATCAGGGGGCTGCAGAGTGGCTAAGAGCACTTGGCTGCTTTTCCAGCAGACCTGAGTTCTATCTAGTCCCAGCAAGTGCATAGCGGCTCACAGCCATCTGGAACTCTAGTTCCCGGAGATCTGACACCCTCTTCTGGCCTCCTTGGGCACCAAGCAATGACACACATGTATACTCATGTGTTTGGGCAGAACACTGAAGACAGAAAAACGCAGCGTCCTTAGATTGGTGTGAACCCTTCTGAAATCCCAAGCCTTCTGGAGAGTCTGCCAATCTCTCACCACAAAAGGGCATCCTCAGCTTAAGTAAACACTGGTGCCTCCCTGGCAAAACCACTCACACTGAGGGTGTGATCTGGGATTGTACACAACCTTGGCACGGTTAGAGGGCCATGCTCCGAGGTATGTGGGGTCTGAAGAACACCCATGCTGCTGGGTGTGTGTGTGTGGGTGTTGTCTCAAAGTATGTATAAAATGTGGTTGTACCTAGCAAAGTGTAAGCCTACATCACATTCTTATTTCAGCGGTTTCTAAATATGGCTATCAGGATTTCTGGAGTATTATGGTAAACATACACATTGCTGGGACCTGCCCCTAGACCAGTGAGTGGTTCTCAGCCTTCCTAACGCTGCGACCCTTTAACACAGTTCCTCATGGTATGGTGACCCCAGCCATAGTTATTTTCGTTGCTACTTTATAACTGTAATTTTGCTGTTATTAATTATAATGTAAGTATCTGATATGTAGGATATATGCTAAGCAAGCCTGTGAAAGGATTGTTTAGACTGAGAACACTGCTCTAGACTGACTTGTGGGCGGAGCCCAGAGAGGTGTGGGCCCCACTTGTACCATAGATGCATCTGTTTAAAAGACCTCTGAGCAGGAACTGAGGATGGCTCAGCAGTTTGGGGTTAGACTCCAGCACCCACATGGTGCCTCATTAAATTCAGTACCAGGAGATACAGTGTCCTCTTCTGGTCTCCGTAAACACCAGGCATGAATGAGCGTGGTGCACAAACCTGAGCAAAACACATAAACACATGACATAAAATCTAAAAATCTTCAACCAACCAACCGACCACATTTTACAGTGGGCAGTGTGCTTTGACTTAGATTTGTCCTCTGGCCTCTCCCTCTTCTTTTTCTCCATCTACCTTCTTTCCAGTCAGGGGGGGAATTAAGGGCCCTGTACACATGGAAGTCAGTGCTCTGCCGCCGAGTTCTATGCCTGGCTATAACTTTATCTTTCGGAGATGAGTTTCACATTGTAGCTCAGGGTGGCCTGAATCTCAGAACGCTCCTCCTTCCTCAGTCTCCTCAGTGCTGGTCACACAAGGACTCACAAAGCCCAAGCTGGCTTCAAACTTCCTAAGTAGCCAAGGATAACGTTCAACTTCTGGTCCTGGGGTTATAGGCAAGTACCACCATGCTGGACTAATCTTTTAATTTCACATTAGATTATTCCCAGGCAATTTTGACTCATGAGTTTATCTGGGGCTGTTAATCTGGCTGTTTCACTGCTGTGAGTTAACACACTTACACCCTGGCTTACTCTTCAGTCTCTTGAGCTGTGACAGCAAACTGAGATGAACTGGAACATACTTCAGCATCTGGGCAGAGTGGACTTACTGTCCCGTCCATGTACCTGACAAATTCTGTATGACTGGCTTACCTAGCCATGGGGTTGGGAGAGCGGGACCAAAAGTCTCCCTCTCCAGTAGTGGTGCAGTCAATATGGGGAACAGGAGTTACCTTGGCTCTTCCCAACTGCAGGGCTAGGACAGGCAGTTTTAAGACACGGCAGCCTGACTTCCTCGGTATCCAGGTGTTGTGTTTGGGACGTTAAACGTGTCCAAAAGGCCAATGCAGTTAAGGATGTCCCAGCTGATGGAATTAGCTTGAGGTGAGGTCTAGGAGAACACTGGATCACTGGTGTTGTGCCCTTCAAGTGGATACTGGGGACCACTCCGGTCCCTCCCTGCATTGAGTCCCAGTAAGCAGTTTTACTTGGTGATATATTGCCTTGCCATGGGCCCCCAAAGTAAGGGACCCGCATAACCCAGGTCAGAAACCTTTGCAACCATGAACTAAGGACTTGTTTTTTTCCCCGCCCCTCAAGATGCTTTATAAAAATTTGGTTTGGCCAGGTGGTGGTGGAATGCTTTTTGTTTTGTTTTTAGAGACAGTTTCTCTGTAGCTTTGGAGCCTGTCCTGGACTTGCTCTGTAGACCAGGCTGGCCTTGAAATCACAAAGATCCACCTGTCTCTGCCTCCTGAGTGCTGGGATTAAAGATGGGTGGTGCACATCTCTCCAGGAGACACAGAGGCAGGCAGATCTCAGAGTTTGAAGCAAGTTTGATTTACAAAGTGAGTTCTAGGACAACCAGGGTTACACAGAGAAACTGTGTCTCAAAACAAAACAACAAACAAACAAAACCCCAAACATCTCAAGAAACTTTTTTTTTTTTTTTGGTAGAGGATGTCACTCTGCAGGATGTGCAGGCTGGCACAGAAGTCACTGTGTAGACCAGGCTGGCCTTGGACTCAGAAATCGTCCTGCTTCTGCTTTCCAAGTGCCAGGATTAAAGGTGTGTGTCACCAGGGTCTGGCTTGTACTCTACTGGTCCAACCCCAGCCACAGGTGACCGGACTGGGAGGGAGAGCTCTGGGGTGACGCTAGCGCAGCTCCTCTATGCCAAGGATGACGGGGAAGAGCATAATGGAGGTCTTGGCAAGGGCTAGCGGCGGGGCCTCTGGCACACACGGGCACTTGCAAGACATTTATAAAGGACGTGTTTATTTTCATCACGAGAAGCACGCAGACTATATACAGTACACACCAACAGAAGTAAAAAAAAGTGCACTATGCTTCTACTGCAAATTCACAGTACAAAAGATACTGCCTCTTAAATATATAATATAAAAACAATAGAAAAATCAAAGTTGTGATGTGATGCATGGGGCCGGCGGCAGCCTCTGACGGTGAAGGACGTGGTCTGGTGTGGCTCATCTGGGGTGAGCTGCACCCCCAATCTGCTGCAAGGAGCTGAGGATATGGACAGGAGAACAGGGGTGTGAAGGGGACTAGGGATTACAAACTTCTACAACCCAGAGCTCAACTGCGAGGGGTTAGGGGGAGGTACCAGGCTGTGGGTCAGGGATGCAGAGCCTGCACCACCTCCCAGATGCCTGGTAAACCAATCACACCTTCATTGGCTACCATGGGCTGTGGTGTTTGCTGACGCCAACCTGGCCTGCAGGAGCTCAACAGTGCCATTTCTGGCAGGCTCTGTAGTCACAAACCACAAATGTCAACTGCATAGCAGAATAAACATAATGGGGGGAGAGGAACTCAAGTCCTAATCTCAACCACCAGGACAAGACAGAGTACCCAGCCACAACAGATGAGAGCTGAACAGTTGCGCATAAATACACAGTATTTGTAAACGATTATTAAGGCACTCGATTGTAAAACAATAATTACAGTGTAGAGGAGGCAGCTATCTTCTCATGCAGCAGGGCCAACAGCCAGGGCAGCAGAGGCTGCGCAGTTAGGACTCCTGCCGAAGACAGGGACTGGAGGGACGGTGGTGTCTACTGCAAAAGGGAAAGACAAGGTGGTCACCCTTCTCCAGATGGCCCCTGGTGGCATCACTACAGGTGAGTGTAGGGTGACTTACTGCATAGCTAGAGGACACAGTATGTGATGAGAGAAATGCCACACACTGGGTTTGATCGGGTACGTACACACACAAACACACAACGAATATACAAGGTATACACACAAAAACGTATGTGCATACATGCATGCAGAGTGGATTCTCACACCCAACAATAACAAAACAGGGGGCTTTGGACAGGGAAACATCGACCTTCATTGGTCTTTATCATCAGCAGGAACTCGGGATGGGAACCAGGTCAGGTGATTCTGTGCCATGCCACAGTATTTACCCTGATGGGGTTGTATGTGCCAAATTTGGCTCCATCCTGCAGCACCCTCTGGGCTTCTATGGGACAGAGGGAAGGGCTTTAGATTAGCAGGGCTGGATATTCTGCTAGAGCAGCGCAGCTCTCCAGGTACCTGTGAGTACCTACATGGCTGAGCCACAGGGATGCACCGTGTGTGATTGGCAGGGGTCTCCCTACCGAGGACAACAGGGCTGGGGATGCAGAGGACACCTTGCTCTTAGCTCATGTAATCAGGCACCTCAACTGCCCACCCCCTCTATCTAGTATCCATCTCCCTTACAATTCAAGAAGCCTTCTGGGTTGAGGAAAGACGAGGCCATCACAAGGTTCAAGCTGTTGGGAGGCTATGCAGGTGAGCAGAAACAAGGAGGGTAGCTGAGAACCTAGGGCATCCAGCTAGGGGGAAAGCTCTTCATTCAATGAAGACAATTCAATTCAGCAGTGGCTTACGCTACACAAATCCCTCTGCTTGCCCCATGTGCCTCTTCTGTGTGTACATAATTTGCTAAGATTATACACAGAGCATTAGCCAGGCATGGATGAGTAGCTCACAAAGCAAACGTTTTTGGTCAGGGTCTATGTAGCCCTGGACTCAGTAATCCACCTGCCTCTGCAGAGGTTAAAGGTGTGTGCCATCAAGCCTGGCTAGAACAAACTTTTCATAAGACAATGTGTAGTTGTCACTGCGGAGGTGAGCCTGGTTTGGCAGGATAATTCCACAGAACCCTTTAGATTAGATGCCAATCCACCATGACAACAGATAGCTCGAACCGTCCAGCCAAAGCGAAAGCCATCAAGCCAGGGTCTCATTCTGGTGACTTGGGGAGGGGGACAACACAGGGCGGCAGCCCCCTGCTGGCTGATATGCCAGTGCTTCTAAAAGAGACATCAGTTTGCCTGAAGTCAAAGGCCCATTGAGTTGATCATCCTCCTGTTCTTATTCTTTGAACAGAAAAGGACAAATTGTGGTTTTCAGAATCCTGCCACCCTTACAGACGGGATTAGAGATCCGGTGGAAATCTATCATTACCAAATCTAAGGAATTATGTTGACATAAAAATTGATCCACCACGCAAAATCAAACTTGGAGACATCTGTTAAAGTTGGTCTTTTTCAAAGTTTGCTTTTGTTGGCTGGAGGAATGTGGAGAAGCCTACAGGGTCTTAGGAATAAGTAGTGGATAATCACTTTTTAAGGTGCTTACCATTGACATTGGTAGGAAAACAAATACCTATAAAACAACATACATGTCTTTTTTTTTTTTTTTTTTAGATCCTGCCGGGGAGAATCTCTGAGAGAGAGGCTCACGAAGACCCTGCACCGATGAGGAGACTAGCCTTGTTCCTGGGGATGAGCTGGCTATTCTCCAGGATGGGCATTCTGGGAGCCGCACTAAGTCCAATCCATCCACTTTCGGGGCACGGGCAGTCCTCGAAGGCTTTGTGGTCTTGCTTAGCTAGCTGGCTGAACCAGCCAACTGCAGGACAGAGCTGTGGTCACGGCCACAGGGACTCCATCTGCACAAGTGGTATCGGGAAAGGCTGGCATAGTTTGGGGCATGAGGAGGAAGTATATGGTCTGTGACATTCAAGAAGCAAAGGAAGCCTTCCAATATGTCTCCCTGCAGTACCACACGTAGTCCTGAGGCATCAGATGATCAGTCTGCAAGCTGGAGGGCCTGTGGAGATGCCTGAGTCAGGTGACATCGTCCCTGTCAGGGCTACTATTTTTTTTTTTTTTTTTGTTTTTTCGAGACAGGGTTTCTCTGTGGTTTTGGAGCCTGTCCTGGAACTAGCTCTTGTAGACCAGGCTGGTCTCGAACTCACAGAGATCCGCCTGCCTCTGCCTCCCGGGTGCTGGGATTAAAGGTGTGTGTCACCACCGCCCGGCTAGGGCTACTATTTTTGAGGTAGGGTCACTGTGTGGTCCAGGTTGGCCTTTCACTCATGAAGGACCTGCCTCAGTCCTCAGTCTCCTGATGCAAGATCACAAGCCCATGCCACTGCCACCAGCTTCATCTATCTCTTGACAAACGCTTCAAAATGTAAAAACCAAACCTGGGGCAGGATGGGATCAGACCTGTAATCTTGGCATCTTGGGAGTCTGAGGCCAGTTTGGGTTGCACAATTGGATTCTACCAAAAAAAAAAAAAAAGATAAACTCGAGAGGCAGAGGCAGGAGAGCCTTGCTGAGTTTGAGGCTTACAGTCTACATAGCAAGTTCCAAAGTGCCATGACAGCCAAAGCTACATAGTAAAACCTTACTTTTTAATTTAAAAAATTAAAAAAAAAAAACAAACAAACCAGGTGATGGTGGTGCGCGTCTTTAACCCTAGGAGGGGCACTCTGGGAGGCAGAGGCGGGTGGATCTCTCTAAGTTATAGGTGAACCTGGTCTGCAGAGTGAGTTCCAGGACACCAAGGGCTACGCAGAAAAAAAAATCTCAAAAAACCCAAACCCCCAATACACCATTTCCACAGCAGAAACAAAATAAATCAGAGGAGAAGTCATGGTCAGCTCACAGGGTGGCACACCCTAGTCTGCCAATCACCAAACCAGGCCCTCCCTCCCTCCTGGCATCCTGCCATCACTGTCTTCTTTATGGGCACCAGTTAAGGTGCCTGATTTGAACCCAGAGCCCTGGCCTCCTGCTGCACTGAGCTAACCTGTGCTAACACCTGTGTTGTGGCCTGTATGGGGGAGCTGGAGAGGAGGGAGCATCATTTGGACAGGAGGGAGTACTCGCCCTGCAGGAAGAGATGCATGCAAACATCTGTGAGGCTTTGTCAACAGACCCACTACTCCATTACTGACATGACCTTCCTCTCACCGGATGTAGAGATGGCACCTAGCAAGCCTGGTGTGAGAGGGCAGGGGATGGTCACAGTGTCTCAGTAGGACGATCCACACCCCAGACCCACAACCTCATGGACATGAGCTCGTCCCAATCCCAAACATAACAATGTCTTGTTAGCAGCAGACGTGGCTCAGCGATGCCTGGAGTGATGGAAGCTCAATGCTAGAAGCTGACTGAGGACCCCACATCCCCACCGTAGGTGCCAGGATGGAGGGTCACACAGACGACTGCCACTCGGTGCTTTCCTCTGATGATGTCACACAACTGTACCTGGATGGTCAGGTTCAAAGTCTTGACACTTTGGGGGGACCTCACCCTCCAACCCCCCCACGATTCTCTCGGAAAAACCCTTTTTAGACACAGCATTGTTCCTCAGAACGAGCCTGGGTCATTACTATCTTAAAAACACACAGGAGAACAGAGGTAGAACTTGTGTTATCTGAGAATTCTCCCTTGAGGGCAGGAACGAGCTGGGGACATGGGCTGCAGCGACATTACCATGGCTCTTCTCTCACAGGCTGCACATTAAAATATTTTGTATGTACAGACTTATCTTCTCTCCACCAGGCTGGTCTAAACTCACTACATAGCTGAGAATGACTTCGAACTTCCAAACGCCTCCAACTCCAGTAATGGGATTATAGGGGTGTCCTACCATGCCTGGTTTCATGGGGTGCTGGGGATGAAACCTAGGGCATGGTGCATGGTGGGCAAGACTCTAACAACCAAGACACAGCCCCAGGCTGTGTGTCCATATCTTCCCACAGACAGGGCTTGAGGCTCAGTGGTGTCTCCTGGCTGAGTCTCCAGGTGGCCCAAGCCCGTTCTGGGTCTCCTTCATGTGTGCGGTGTTACTTCTTTGTCCCCCCTGCTCTTTGGCAAGAGTGAGGAAAGCCTGGACGACTGAAGCTAACGCAAATCAAGACGTGTGTGACGTGTGTGACCAGGACACTGTGAGAACCTCAGCCCGCATAGCGGAATGCTGCTCAGCTTCTCAAGTTTTCTGGGACAGATTTCCCTGATGGTTTACAGGCTGCAGTGGGGTCCCTCGGAGTGGCCTGCGGTTCGTGCAAGAAGGAAGAGTGACCGTACTTGGCATCCTGCGAGTCGGCGATGGTGGAAGTGTCAGCCTCACTGGACAGGTCCTCCGTGGAGAAGTTGAGACTTCCCAGCTTGGCGAGGGAGTGGGAACGTTTCAGTGGGGACGACACAGTGAGACCCGCCAGCCGGAGTCGTGTCTCGATCTCCTGCGCCCGCTGCTTCACAAGGCCTGGCTTTCCTCGGATACTGTGGATGCTGTCACTGCTGGAGCTCCGGGTCAGGTTGGAACTCATGGAGGAGGAGGTGGGGGTGTAGCACACGGTCTTCAGGAAGTCTTTTGAGACGTTACTGGTGTGATCTAGGCGGAGGAGGGTAGGAGTCGGGCTCTTCACCAAGGCTCCTTCTGGAGGTTTCTCATCAGCCCCTGCTTGGCTGCACAGGGCTAGGTGTCCAGGCTCCTGGCCCTCCTCAGGGATGCTAGCCTCCAGCCTGCTGGTGGCATTGTCCCTGCAGGTAGACGGTAGGTCTGAAGGCAGGCTCTTCAACCTCTCTAGTTCTTTGGTGTGCTTTCGAACCAGGCCCGCCTTCTGCAGCTGGATGATGGACTCCTGATGCTGCATCAGGTAGCTATTGGTGCTCGGCTTCTCTGCCTCATTACTGAACAGAAGCCTCAGGTCCTTAGCTGGCTTCATTTCTTTCTTAGTTGACAATTCTTCCTTCATTGCTTCCATGTTGGCGATGTTCTTATCACAGTGAGAATTCTTTAACAGGAGTGACTTTGGAAGGATTTTTGAGGTTTCTCTGGAAGGCTCTAGAAGGCTTGCTGGTGGTTCTGGGGAAGCCCCAGTTCCAGAGCCACTGATGTCTGGCTTCCTTGAGCCTGCTGGTAGTAGGAATGGAGGAGCGCTGGCTGGACCAGAGGCCAGCCTCTCTGGAGCTTGGGACCTGCAGCTCGTGTGGGCCATCGGGGAAGATGCGCCATGGGGCAGGAAGGCTGGCTGGGTGCAGATGGCGGGAGCACTGGGGTCTTCGTGCCGTTCTGTGGAGGCTTCAGGAGCCCCGCCAGCAGGGTACATGCAGTCAGCACAGGATGTGTAGGAAGGCTTCACTTTACTGAGGATTCCAAACACAGCATTGTGCTGCAAGCGACAAGAGTACCATGAGCAAATGTGATCCTGAGCCAGAGACCAAAAGGACAAAGTGGGCCACTGTGGCAGGGATGCATAGGGATGGCCGGCCCTGTGTATATGTATGTGTATGTGGGGGGCGGGGTTAGTGTTTTCATTTGTTCAGGGTTCAAGACTGTGTGGAACACACCAGTCATGAAGAACAGAGGTTCTAGAGGCCTAAGGGATGTTGACCTTGATTTTCCACAAGTCAAAATGATGACCTTAAGGCACTGGGCTGGGACAGAGCCTAGGCCCTCCCTTCTCAGTCTGTCTCTGCCATCAGCCAGGGTGACGCTTCCCTGGCCATGGTCTGTTCTGGAAAGCAGGGGGCACTGGAGAAGAGAGTGGCAGGGCTGGAGAGCCGGCTAATGCTCTTTCAGAGGACCTGAGTTCAGTCCCCAGCAGCCACGTCAGACAGCTCACAGCCTAACTCCAGCTGCAGGGTAGCCAATGCCTCTGGCTCCCCAAAACGCTGGCACGCATGCATATAAACCCACACACCAACGCATAATTTGGAATAAAATTTAAAAACCAAACAACTAGAATTTAAAAAGCAAACAAGTGACAACAAAACAGCATAGAAAGGAGGTTCTCTCTGGCAGAGGTGACTGCGCCCAGGCTAACTGCACCCTAAATACAGAGTCCTTCATAACTTGGGGACCATCAACCTGCCATGGTCATTATAATCTGGGGACTGGCAGAAACGGCTCTCGGACTGCCTCCAACTCAAACACATGTAACTACTCGGTACACCATCTCCCAAGGACACCACTTGCCTTTTGGTCACTGGGGCCTCAGTGAATGGGACAAGGACTTCTCTTTGCCTTCCCTGCCAGGACAACCCTGTACCAGCTCAAAGGCCAATCAATGATGATGAAGGCAAGAAGCATGAGGGTGGCTTTCCCAGCTGCCTGACTGGAGAGCCCACAGCTAGGAGAAAGGAGCCTTTCAGTGACGGCTGTGGAGGAAGGAGTCTCAATTCTGCCACGATTCCAAGAGGTCAATACCATTCTGTGTTGCCAAGTCGTCTCAGGCTCACAGGCTCTGCTGCCACCTATGCCTCTTCTGAAGGAGTCCCCTGTGCTTCCCTGTGTCACCAACATGCCATGGCCTCAGCCACTCCCGTCCGCATCCATCACTGCTGCCGCACCACGACAGGCTCATGCAGCTCCTGCCCCTCACATACCAAATCCTCCACCCAGATCCTGCCTCTCAGTACAGCATTGCTTCTCAGCCTGTCCCTAGCAAGCTGCCCTCTTCCACCCGCCTCTGAGTCAAGCTCTGTTCTGCTGTGCCCTCAAGTGTGCCTTCCCTTCACCCCATACAAAACAGGAACCCATGCCAGTCCGCCAAGCCACAGTTAACAAAAGGAGTCAAGCATTCAAATGGCTGCTTGTCTCCAGGTTCAGCCCTGGTGGGTCCTGGTGCTGAGTCCACTGAACCCTTTACCCTACCCTCCTGGTCACCATCCAGTGACTCATAGTCAGGCCGCTGGGGCTAACCACAGCACCACTGGCCCAGACAAAGGCATTTTATATCATCTGTCCTCTCTAAGGGAAGTGGTGGGCAGTGGGGGAGGCATGTAGTTCCTTTCTGGTCTGGAACATATTTCATTACTTAGAGGCCGGCAAACAGATGAACCGCCAGGGTGGTTAGGTGCTTTTTTGTTTTGTTTTTGCTTAGCATTGGAGCCGAATGTTAATTACAAACTAACTTTCTACTTCAGTGTCTCCCTGAGAGTCTTCATTGCAGTCATGGCAAAGGGACAGAAAGTTCCTGGCCCCAAGCCTTTGGTGAATACTGGAGGGGCAGACAGACCCCCCACCCCCGCCCCAGGTCATGACTGGATGCTGGAACAGGGAAGATATATAGGGTGTGGGACCAGCCACTTTCTGAGCATCCCGAGGGTGGAGTGAAGGCTCCCCGGACATCATCCCCCAAGGCTGGCAGCTTTAAGGGACACAAGGAGCAAAGCACTAACGTGAGCTGAAGAGGGACAGCACTGTTCTGTCACATAACGGAGCATCAGGAAGGGAATGCTACCTCTGGGATTTGTTTCAAAGCCATCCAAAGAGAAAGAGCCGGGGGGGCTGTGGCAGGTGCAGAGATGAATCAGGAACATCACATATCGATTCAGGGATGAACTGGGGTGATGAAACGAGTCAGAAGCCCCACCGTGGATGAGAGGATATCACAAGATTTAGGTATCCCTTACACATGGCCTATCCTCTAGTGAGGCACATGCTATACAGTCAAGTGATAACAGTCTCCTCCTGAAATAAACCCTGTGGGATGAAGTGAGAGCTCTGTGGGGTGGGGTAGAAGTGGCATGGCATGCTGCTACCACAGTGGTCCCTGCCTACCTCGAAGTCATTGGGGCAGCTCCTCTTGCTGTTGTTATTGTTTAGGTTTTCCTGGTCAAGCTGGGTGGAGGCCCGCCTCCACCTCCCAGCTCTCTGGTCACACTTCTTCTCCATCTCCCCCGCCTGTGGCAAGGAGCCACCGCGGGCTTTGGGGCTCCCGAAGTCTAGCTTCTTCTTCACATCCTTCTCACAGTGCCTGGCTCCTTCTTGGGAATGCTGGACCAGTTTGTGCACCTCCACTGGCTGAGCGGCGTCCTCCAGCAGAGCATCCCGCTCCAGATCCTCTAGGTGGACCAGGCTGCCTGCGGCATCGTGATGGGGGAGGAGGAGGGGATCTGAGAGTCTTCGGAAACAACAAGGGAGAGAGGGTCCTCCTGGAGCCTGGCTTCCTGCAAGCCCGGGCTGGGTGGTGTCATCCAAGCACGGCAGCCGGGTGTCCAGGGCATCATCCAGGGTCTCTGGCAAGAGCTCGCTGGGCTCTGCTGCAGGGTCATCTGCAGGCTGCTGGCGCCACAGCTTGTTGTGCCGCTGCTTACTATGGGGAGAAAGAGCAGGCAGTGAGCTGAGGGGACAACAGCAGCAGGTCCTGCATGCAGACAGCCTGCATCAGACGTCCATTCTCCAGGGCACACAGGGATGACAGCACCCTCAGTCACCATGGCCGACATGAGAAGCCTTTCAGCTTCCCCTTGGCTGTGTGGGGACAATGGTGGCAGACGCAGCGGGAGTTCTGCCTGGGGGTCCTTTGGCCTTCATGTTTGTGTCTGTCTTACCGTGTGAATCCGGTCAAGTCACTGATGGTTGTCACTCAGTTTCTGCGACCCATGAGAGTAACCATCATGTGAGAAAACTCAGGGGTCAAAGCAGAGAGAGTGTCATGTTCTCTGCACACTAGTGAATCGAGGTGAACACGACCATACCGGGGAAGATTTCAGAAAACTTCTAAGTATTTGTTTCAGGCAGAAACTAGAGATCCATTTTTAACGATTTCCTCTTCTTTTTCTTTCTTTCTTTCTTTCTTTCTTTTTTTTTTTATTAAGAATCAGGATCTATTTAGCTCAGGCTAGCTCCAAACTTATGATGTAGCCAAGGCTACCTAAGTTCTACCTCTTCCTTCTAATTGCTGGAACTATATTCTGGCTTGAAAGAATTTGTCTTATGTTTCTATTATTACTTTTCATATGGAGATGGGCGGATACGTAAGCACTGTATCACTGGGCTGCATACCTAGCCTATGGCATTAAAAAGACAGTTATTTTTTTACAGAATCTTGAGAATTTCATACCATATCCACCCCAGCTTCCACTGCCCCCAGACTGTGTCTTTTTTTTTTTTTTTAATTTTTTGAGATGGAGTTTCTCTGTGTAGCCCTGGCTGTCCTAGAAATCACTTTGTAAACCAGGCTGTAAACCTTGAACTCAGAGATCCACCTGCTTCTGCCTCCCAAGTGCTGGGATTAAAGGCGTGTACCACCACCACCAAGCCTGGTGTGTATTCTTTTTAAAAACAGGCTTCTAAGCCCAATTTGTGTGGCCATTACTCATGGGTGTAGGGCATCTACGAGAACATGGGTGACCCAGGTGTCTACCCCAGAAGCAATTAACTGTCAACAGTTGCTAAGTTAGGGGCAGGGACTGGCACTGTTTTTATAACACATTTGATGGTACGAGCCAAGAATAAAAGAGAGAAAAAAACTTTACAGTGACAGAGGTGATCAACTAAGGTCACCTCTACCTCCCGAGGACTTGGGAGTAAAATCTGCATTGCAGGGGTACGAGGGCGAGCTGTGGGGGTGTGGGGGTGAGCAGTCACACCCACTGGAGAAGATGCTCTTCGGTCACTGTCCCTTTCCCCGTGGGCTCCACACCATGAAGCAGTGTGTACTGCTGTGGACCACAGGAGACCCTCGGCGAGGCTGTGGCTGGAAGGCTGGAAGGTGACCCGAGAGGCCAAAGGAGAGCAGGCGCTTCTCTCCCTCTTTCTCCTCCAGTTGCCTAGGGACCTGACAGTGTCCAAATGATGTCAAACAATCCAGAGGTGGCTGCGGTGGTTCTCTGAGCCTGTTCATCCCTGCTGGAGCAGTTCTTCCCTAAACCTGTCCCAGGAACTGAAGGACTCAGCCTCTGGATTCCCAGCACCAGTCAGAAATAATCTAAACAGACTGGACGTGGAGCAGGGAGAAAGCGAGTCCCCAGATACTGGCATCTGCCCCAGCAGCCTGAGGTGCTGGGGAACCCTCACCGCCCTGACAAGGCCCCCAGCAACAACTGCTCTCTCCTGCGGCAGCCAAAACATGTAGGTGTAAATCTCTCTCTTGGCACCCAGAAGCCAACTGTGACAGGAGACAAGTTGCCCTTTCAGCACTGGCCCAGGCTCACTTGTGAAATGAGCAATCAAAACTTACTTAGAGGTGGGAGACAGATTCAGCAGTGACATTTATTAACTTGTCAAGGACCTGCAGTGACTGCTCGTGCAATCTCAGAGCCCTGCCACTTTGAAAACTGCACTAAGCTGTCCATTGACTTTTACATACTCACAACAGCACACTACGATTCGTCTCCATAACTCTGCACAGCACACAATAAGCATTACCGGCCATCACAGCTCAACTGTCACCTCTCCAGCCTTTGGTCACCGATACCACGTTCTCCATCTCTAGGGGCCACAAGTTTTTCCTGATGGCCCCGAAATTTGTTCAGGGTGTACCACACATGTCAGAATTTCCCTTTCCTTCCTTTCTGATGGGGCGGGAAGGAGATGGGATCTTGATATGTGGCAGAGATTATTAGCTTTGAAGTTCTGGGGCAGGCAGTCTCTAGCTTTAGTTCCCCTAGCAGTGTGGCCTACGAGCTTTTTCGTCTGACTTTAACTGCCTTCCTTCGGTAGGCAGAGGGAGATTCCTATACACACTCCCTGTTTGCTTATCCACCCATCCACCAAGGAACTCATAGACAGCCTTCCCCTTTGGGCCACTGTAAATTACACTGCCATCGACACAACTCTCTGAGTCCCCAGATTTCCAGGCTCCTGGGTATATACAGTGAAGCGAAGTTTTTGGATCATGCAATGGTCCACCTTTTAGGTTTCTGAGGGACCGCGAGCATCTGATACCTGGATGTCAAATCCTTAACCCAGAAGAGGGGACTGGGCTTGGGGAAGGTTGCCAGGCTCGCCTGTGGTGAATCAAGCCTCTTCAGTCCCTGAGTTTGGCGTAAAGCAGGTGCTGAGGAAAAAGATATGCTCAGGCCCACACCACACACCAGGACGTACCCTGGATGGGCATGTAGGCACCTTCTCTTGCCCACACCACACACCAGCATGTGCCCTGGATAGGCATGTAGGCACCTTCCCTTGCCCAGCAAGAGTTTCTACAAGTGCCAACAAAATCAAAACGGATCCCTCCTGGAAACCACTAATCACAGCCCCAACAATAGCTGCTCTTTTTCCACGCCAGCTCCCGAGAGGCTGGTTTCCAGTTGTGGAAGCTCCTGCCAGGCTGACAGGAGAAGAGCGGAATGCCCAAGCTGGCCTGGCCAGCGTGGTGTGCCAGTCTGTCTCTAGGTACACACTCACCTTGCATCCAGGATGCCTTCATACTCAGACAGCTGCCTCATAAAGCCTGCGTTGGGCCGCGTGATGCTACGCTTCTGCTTCACATAGTTATACGCTTTCTCCAGGGGCCAGCCAAATTCCTTCATCGCATAGGCTATGACCGTGGATGCAGATCGGCTGACGCCCATTTTGCAATGGACCAGGCACTTGGAATGATTTCTTCTGCAGGGATTTTGGGCGGGGGGTTAAGAGCAAGGATTAAGAGCCGTCCCTGACTTACCACTCGGGTTTTACTAACCAATTTCATTTTTAAAGTTATCGCATAGTTCCAATCCTTCTCTGCCCTAATGTTTATGGAACAGATCTCACACACCCTCTAAAGGAAATAACTTTGCTGTGAAATCAATTAACACACAATGGGAGAACAGATGAATCCGCATGGCCTGGCCCAACTTTGCAGGGCCTGCTTCCAAACAGTCTCCCCCGTTACTGGGATAAGTGAGGCCACCCAAAGTTGCTTCCAGGGCCGCACCCGGACAGTCCAGCTGCTACAGCAGTTGGAGGCCCTGAATGAGCTACTGTAGAAAACAGGGTCAGCGAGGCAAAAATGCTGCACCCTGTGGAAAGACTGAGCTCCTGGAGGGAGCGCAAGGATGACAGCAACCTGGCCAGAGAACCACCGAGCTAGGGGAGGACGGGGCCAGTGATCCGGCTACTTGTAAGAAGGCAGTGCTGGCCTGGGCACAGCTGATTTACCAGATACACAAGGGACAATGACCCTCTCCCTGATGGAGAGGGTGAAGACACGCCAGGCTGGCAGAGGCTGCACCTGGGAAGCTGAGGTGGGGTGAGCAGGCTCCAGTTTCCTACACTAGGGTTTCAATCCCATCCCCACAACACTGCTCCTCCTGCCTTCTACACTCACTAGCAAGGAGTCTGGAGTCTGTGCCCTGGGAAAGCAAGAGAAGTGGCATTTGGAAAGGACGTAACAGTTGCTCCAAAGGAGAATAAGGAGGGGGCTGGGCTCAGGAGGTGTGGAGATGGCCGCATCTTAGGACTGCCCATCTAGGCACACAGGAACATGGACCCCCCCCCCCCCGTACTCTTTGGGGGAGCTGTCCAAGAGTTCTAGGCCCAGCATGCACTAGCCCCTTCCAGGATGCCCCCAGAGAGCTACCTAGAGGTACTTGGTATTGGACGTTGGCCTGGAATCAGAGTTAATGACAAAAACTGGGCTCAACATCACAATCATGGGCCCTTGGGAGAGAATATGAAGGCACACTGTGGACAAGGCCAATCCTTGCCTGTTCGCTTTGATGCCTGGTGTCCTGTTGCTAAAACCAAAGGCCCACCAGACAGCAAAGCCTCTCCCGGCATTGGGCATCTGTATCCATGACCACCTACCCCAAGAGCAGGGCTGCCTACTTCCACGTCATCTAGCCCGCCACTTGTTTCTGCCCACCTGTTCCTCCTAAGACCAATTTCCCAAACTTACTTTGCTTTGTTTATAAAATGATAGGCTTCGTTCCAGTGGGCGAGGAGGTCTGTGGTCTCCTCATCGTAGACTCGGATGTTATGGTATGCAAATAAGCCAGGGAAAAAATTGTCTATTTCTCTAGTGACATTTAAAATGTAGTCAACCCTGCAGAGAAAAGAAGCAAATAGTCTACAGAATCAGAATGAGGAGCAAGGAAAACAAGTCACAAAAAAACTGGCAAGGAAGTCAATTTCTATACACACACTACAGCACGTATGTTCCTAATGAAACTGGTTTTGCTTAACAGTCATTTCCATGTGTTTCCTCCACATGACAAGAATGTATTATTTTTTTAAAATGCCATACTAAAACCCCTTTACAAAAAAAAAAAAAAGCCTCCGCTCTCTTTTGCTAAAAGGCAGAATACGGCCTTCTATTACTCATGCCCTAGATGAGAGCATCCACTAACTCAAACCCCACGGCCCCTCACCCTTAACCAGTACATTCATTTCTAGAAAATCAAAATGATTTTGGTAATTGGAAACGTCTCAAATAGGTTTCACCATAAATGACAACGAATCACAATTTACTCCCAGTAAAATGGAAGCATAAAGTCTAGCCTCTCACTGACGACTGCTCTGCTGACCGGAGGTCCTAAGGATGTATTTTAAGCTCTGTTTAGTCTCGGTTTTCAGCTGCAGTAAGTTCCAGAAGGCCAGCGGGCACATCAGGCCGACCACAGAATGGTGATTTTGTGGCTGTCACTCCTGCTGCTGAGCATTGCTCAGAGACAGCGGGGAGTGTCAGTCACAAGATTCCACCAGGCACCAAGTATTGCCAGGAGTGCTCCAGTTTTCAGAGTTGCTGATGGACCAAAAGATCAACAGAGACGTGTGTCCACACTCGGGTTCTAAGCAATTCTGCTGGGGAGTGAGGCTGTGGGAGCGAGCTCAGAGCCTGCCCTGGGCCAGGCTGTCCTCCATTCCACAGTGTGATTAAGCTGTTCCTGGATCTCCCCGACCCCCCGCCCAGTCACCCAAGACTCCAGGAAAAATTTAGAGCCCATGGATCCCTCTGGGTAGCATTCTGAGGCACATGAGATGCTCCAGCCACAGCAGAGACCAGGCTGAGGCAGTCGGAGTGGGCAGGCAGTGTCTGTAGCCTCCACAGAGTAGCGATGCTTAAGCTGCCTAGAGAGATGGGGAAGAGGGGAGCAGACTCACCCTGAGCCCTGCAGCTCTTCCAGATTGGATGCATTCCACTCGGAACCCTGGGGGACAGATCACACAAACCCCTGTGAGTGTCACAGAGCTGCTTGTGGGATGCATAGGGGCCCTGACAGTGCAGCCTCAGCCTCGGAGCAGAAAGAAGGATCAGAAAGAAGCAGGAGAGGCAGGAGTCTAAGAGGAAGGTGGTCTTCTTCCCCCCATTTCATGGAAGCCTGCTTGATATCCCCCAATTTTTTTAGTCAGCATGGGTACAGCCACCACATGCAGTGACCTGAAACCTCACCATCAGCTACGGGGGGGGGGGGGGGGAGGACGACACGGACCCCTCTCCCTTTCCTGGCAGGTATTTTGGTATTAATTTTAAAAGTCCCCACCCTCTGATCCTGAGGGGATGGCCAGGGCTCACACAGACTTAGGAACATGGGCATTTAGGGTTATTCACAGGAAAACAACAGGGACCCAAAGGTCTAATAGGATGGAACCAATAAGATAAATGGCAATAGATCCTTAGGATGGGCATTTCAAAAGAAACCACGCCAATTCCAAGTAGCAGAGGCAGGAGGATGGCCATGAATTTGAAACTGAAGGCCAATCAGGGATATACAGTGAGACCTTGTCTCAAAACAAAATAAGCCAGGGGATGGTAGTGAAGGCCTGTAATTCTAGCACTTGTGAGGCAGAGGCAGGTGGATCTCTAGGTTCGGGGCCAGGCCAGCCTGGTCTACACAGTGAGTTCCAGTATACCCGGGGGCTACACAGAGAAACCCTGTTTCAAAAGCCAAAAACCAATCCAGAAATAAAATAAATAAATAAATCATCATGTTAGTGTAAGGAATAAGCCAAGAGGAACATGACTATGAACCCGAGCAGAGAGGGCACTGTCTCTTTTTCTACATAGGCATCAGAGAAACACAGTGTTCGGGGCCTGGGTTCTAATTCTAATACCACAAGAAACTGAAAAATGTAAAAATCAACACATCAAAATGCTATGAGTGACTGGCCCCCTCAGCGTGGGAGACTGGGAATAGCTTTACTCTTCCCAACTGTCTACAGAATGCACGACTGGATACTTTTACAAACTGTATCATTAAAAACTCCTCTATTCCTGGTCTTTCAAGGAACACAGAAGAGAAACATGAAGAAGCAATCACTACTCTGGAAATGCAAAGGTCTGCAGTCCTGGCAAACATGGCGCGCTATCTCCGTCTCCTGCCGACTTTTTCTCCTGGGAAGCTCAATGGATAAAGCATGAAATCTGTTCATGCAGGAAGACTCAAATATAAACAAGAACATAAAGATGCATTCAACGCTCAGGAGGCTGAAACAGAAGATCACAAAGTCTGGGCTAGCCTGAGCTACATACGAAGCTAGCTCCTGTCTCAAAAGCCCACATATACATATGTGTGTGCATGTTTATGTGTTTATGGAGACTGAAGCTATCTCCCTCAGTGGCCGAAGCCACTTCCTTCGGCTCCTGTAAGAGACATTCCTCTAACCATAGTCTCCATTTGTATTCAAAACCAGGCCTACAGAAACTACACTCGTCACCTCCAGAATGTGTCTTATTTAACCATCAATCACAATCACCCCATGAAGGGCAGTGGCAAAGTGACTTACCATGGGCCACAGGGCAGGTAAGGTGGAGGGGGACCTTGGCCTTGCTAGGTCTGACTTTCAATTGGACTTCATGATCTCCTGGCTAGTTTTAACAACCTGCTTGCCTTTGAAAACTAGTCAATTGCCTTCTATAGATTTATGGCATGAAGACACTGAGCTGGAGGTGCACAGGCGACACCATGGGGTGGATCCTTCGGTGGGCTCAGAGGGGAACAGCTCAGCCACTTGTATTTCAGATAGATGCCAAGTCTATCTTGGGGCTTCGTAAGCATGTATCTGTGAACGTGATTTCCAAACCAGATGGACCAGGGGCAATGACTCTTACAAGATAAAGATGGTCGAAGATAAGGGAGGGCTTGTCCATCTGGCCCAAGATGAGCAACATCTCGTTATCGATGAACTCCTTGAATTCTTTCAGGTTACAGTTCATTTGCTTCTCCAGCTCATTGCGGATCTGTGGGCGGGACAGAGCAGAGGTGATGCTGGGGCAGAACCTATTAGGAGTGATCTGTTCAAAGAACTGTGCACCTCTGTGCAGTGCTGGTTACAAAAAGGGTGAATGTGACTTCTTTCTTTTGTCCAGGATAATGTGTTCAGACACAGGATCACATCTGTGCGGTGGCGGGCACTGTGTCCTGGATAATGTGTTCAGACACAGGATCACATCTGTGTGGTGGCGGGCACTGTGTCCTGGATAATGTGTTCAGACATAGGATCACATCTGTGCAGTGGCGGGCACTGTGTCCTGGATAATGTGTTCAGACACAGGATCACATCTGTGTGGTGGCGGGCACTGTGTCCTGGATAATGTGTTCAGACACAGAATCACATCTGTGTGGTGGCGGGCACTGTGTCCTGGATAATGTGTTCAGACACAGGATCACATCTGTGCGGTGGCGGGCACTGTGTCCTGGATGTGTTTAGACACAGTAGCACATCTGTGTGGTGGCGGGCACTGTGTCCTGGATAATATGTTCAGACACAGGATCACATCTGTGTGGTGACGGGCACTGTGTCCTGGATGTGTTTAGACACAGTAGCACATCTGTGTGGTGGCGGGCACTGTGTCCTGGATAATATGTTCAGACACAGGATCACATCTGTGTGGTGACGGGCACTGTGTCCTGGATGTGTTTAGACACAGTAGCACATCTGTGTGGTGGTGGGCATTGTGTCTGGAATAATGTGTTTAGACACAGTAGCACATCTGTGTGGTGGCGGGCACTGTGTCCTGGATGTGTTTAGACACAGTAGCACCTCTGTGGGGTGGTGGGCACTCACACTTCATCTCCAACCTAACCAGACAGGAGGAAGCCCGGTATTTTCAACAAGGAAATCTTACTTTTTTCCTAAAATCTTTTCTACTGCGTTTAAAACTTTCACTTTCACAATTAGGTACCAACACTGCTGCAGTGAGAAGGTAAAGCCACTTTCCTGTTGAAGGTATCACACATGGCTGATCAAAGTACTCATCAATTACAGATGAAGACTAATGTGAGGCGGGAAGACTGCGGTCAAGGCGTGCCTAGGGGATGCATGGTGAGTTCAGGCCAGCCAGACTCACAAATAGAAATAATAAATAATTAAATAATAAATAACACTTTAAACTTCCTGTAATTTGTTGCATTCTTTAAATAAAAACAAAGGACCATCAGGACGGCTCAGCAAGTAGAAGAGCCAGGAACGAAACCCAACTGCCTGAGTTCAAGCCCCAGGAGCCACATAGTGGAAGAACCCCAACTCCTGCAAGCTGTTTTCCCTCCTACACATGTGCTGTCCACCCCACCCCCACCAGCCCCAGTTAAATATATAAGTAAATACAATAGCTTAAAACATTTTAAAGATTTTTATTTCATGAGACAGGGTCTCACTATGTAGTCCTGGCTGGCCTGGAACTCATTATGTAGACCAGGCTGGCCTTGAAGTCACAGAGAATTTCTGTCTGAGTGCTAGGATTAACGGTGTGTGCCCCCGCCCCCAACAGCCTCTAGATTTGTTGAGGGTTCTGCCTGTAGGTATCTGTGCACCACCTGCATGCAGTACCTGTAGAGGCCAGCTGAGGGCGTCATATCTCCTGGAGACGGAGTTAGAGATGGCTGTGAGCTACCATAAGGGACAGCACTAATGCTCTTGACCAAGGAGCCATCTCTTTAATGCCCACAGCATCTCCCTCTACCAAGCAAGGGACAAAAAGAAAAACTGATCAAGGAGGGCTTAAAAGGTAGAGGGAGCAGTCTGAGATGGCACAGGTCAGGGGTGGGGGGCACACAAAAGCAGGAAAGGGCATGGAAGGCTGAGGTTCCCTGGATGAACCTAGGACCTTCTACAACCTCCCCCAGGGCTCAGAGAGGGCCGACAGTCTGCTCATGATCTCTGGAGTCTAACTCTAAGCCTGGGTCCTACACAGCCCTAGTGCCACTACAGGGCAAAATGCAGGGATGCGTGCCAACACCGGGCCGACCTCTGTTGGGAACCTGGCAAGACAAACATGCGTAAGGGGCTTGGGCCTGCTATGGGCAGGGGGCGGGGGGTCTCTTACTTCCTTAGAAGTCACATTTTCAAGGTCCTGGCTCATCATGATGCTCCGGAGCTTGGCTTTAATGAGACGCTCAGTTCTTTCCCCCTCAGTTGGCCTAGGAAGAAAACGTACAGAAAGCTGCAGAACTCTGAGAAAGAAATCTCAGACGGACGTGAGACCCTCACAGGTCTAACCTCGGCTATTGTGGGTGTGTGTACAGTGTTTGGAGAAGTATCCCACAAGAGCCCAGCATGGAAAGAGAGCAGGCCAGTGGGTAGAGGACTGGCTCCTCACACAGGCCACATGCTGTAACTGCCTACATCCCTACACGGTCGGTCCATCTCCACCTGCTATTCCTATCTGGGGCATTGCTGCATGAGCCCTCACATGAAATCCAAGTCTCTGAATCCTCCTAACGTCTGCATGCCAGCCCTGTTAATTAACTCCTAGGGTCATGGGGACTGGGACAGTCCTCCCGCCAAAGTCTCAAACGGCCATCATTTCATCTAAAGAATTCTTGGTGGCGTCTGGCAGTCTGAGCAACTCTTCTCTTCCAACTAGTCTCCCAGCCGACACCTCTCTGAGGGAGTGGGACCCTGACCCCTGAGAAGCCAGAGAATGTGGCCTTAGTCACTTTCTCTGTTGAGGAAGTTGTGAAGGCTCAACACAGCGGGCTGAATTTGCTACTACCAACCCGTGGGGACACATTCTGAGCACAGAGCACAAGCAGGAGGAGGGGCATCCAGGGTGGGGCATCTCTGTGGTGATCTGACTGAAGCGCAGGATCATGGCTCACAGATGCACTCATCAAACCCACTGCTGTAAAGGGCGAATGTGCATGCGAGGGAGAGGGAATGCGCACAAACCCTTCTTTTAGAAAAGTATTTCTCAACCTGTGGGTGTGGGGAGACCCCTTTAGGAGACCACTGGAAAACACAAATATTTACATCATGATTCACAATAGTAGCAAAACTACAGTTATGAAGTAGCAACGTAAATAATGTTATGGTCAAGGTGACCACAACATGAGGAACTGTGTTAAGGTTGCAGTGTCAAGAAGGTTGAGAACCATAGACTCAGGTAACAAGTTCTACCTGAAAACCTGTTCTAAGAAGGGGCTGCAGGGAAGCACGACCTTGAGAGGACCCCGTGTTGAGCAGTGTGACCTTGAGAGGACCCGGTGTTGAGCAGTGTGACCCTGAGAGGACCCCGTGTTGAGCGGTGTGACCCTGAGAGGACCCAGTGTTGAGCAGTGTGACCTTGAGAGGACCCAGTGTTGAGCAGTGTGACCCTGAGAGGATTCAGTGTTGAGCAGTGTGACCCTGAGAGGACCCCGTGTTGAGTGGTGTGACCCTGAGAGGACCCAGTGTTGAGCAGTGTGACCCTGAGAGGATTCAGTGTTGAGCGGTGTGACCCTGAGAAGATTCAGTGTTGAGCAGTGTGACCCTGAGAGGACCCAGTGTTGAGCAGTGTGACCCTGAGAGGACCCAGTGTTGAGCAGTGTGACCCTGAGAGGACCCGGTGTTGAGCAGTGTGACCCTGAGAGGACCCAGTGTTGAGCGGTGTGACCCTGAGAGGACCCAGTGTTGAGCAGTGTGACCCTGAGAGGATTCAGTGTTGAGCAGTGTGACCCTGAGAAGGACCCAGTGTTGAGCAGTGGGAGAGGCATCCCCGGTACATACTTGTCCACAAACAGGGCTGGAGAGTCGGGTCTCGTGGACTCCAGATCCTGCATGGCATTCCACTCATTGATGCAGCTCTGCTCAGAGCCAATGCAGCTCTCATAGTAGGTGGCCCAGATGAGCGCCACCCCACCAGGGAAGTAGTTGTGCCTCCGTGCCACTTCACAGGCCTTGTGAAGCACTTGGAGGGCAGACCTGGGGGAGGAGAGAGAAGCTCAGGACCAGGAACTTGGGTTCTGCAACTTGCAAAGGGTACTCATTTCATGGCAGTGGGATGGGCACCCGGTAGGGACTCCCTGCCCACACAGCAGTCAGGTACAACTATTAGCTCCCAGAGACTGTGTCAACTAAACTCAGAGGACAGGATATCCCTCATCCTTTCCAAAGAAGTAAACAAACACCAGCAGCAGGCACATCCCAATCTCTAACTCTTCAAGCTGGCTGGGTCACATTCCAGCAACCAACTCCAAAAGATGCCAGATCTGCTTCTGAAGTCACAGCAACCTGGAACACAGGCAGGACTGTACTCCAGGCATCTACGGGTGGGGGAGAAAGGTCTCTAAAGAACAGCAGAAACTCCTGAGCCCATCTGTGGACAGCCCCCAACCCCAGTGTGTAATATCTTAGGGCCTTAGGGCATAAAAATGTGTGTGTTTTATTTAATCAGCCTCTTTTACCTCTTTTGAAAAAAATAATCAGGCTGAAAATTTCTCAAAGAAGAGGCTGCCAAGGGAGGGAAGTGTTGGCCACAGCAGAAACAGCCCCTGAAGAGAGGGCATCACCAGGTGAGGGTTTCTATGACGGCGCATGCACACTGCAAGGAGCCTCATTTTCTGTAATTTTATCCACCCTACCGTCTAGGCTGCTTGAGGGAATAAACTTGGAACCAATGCTTATTAAATTAAATAATGATAATGATGATAGTGACAATATTTGGCTAGAAAGAAAAGAGGCAGCCAGCAGTTACAATAGAAACACTTAGGGCGTTTGCTGGTTTGTTCATCCTCTGAACACTGACTTCGTTGCCCTCATCCACCTCAGAGGACCCTAGAGTGAGATGGAGGGATGGACAGAACTCTAGGAGCAGCCCATGAGAGGGCGCCTCAGGAGTCTCCTGCTCTGGAAAAGCAGAGTCACTGGGAAATGCTATGGGCTGTTCCTCGAGCTCGAAGCTTTTCCTGGTTTATCCCAATTATTCTGTTGCGCAGTTACAAGAACTGCTCAGCCCACACCAGTACCCAGCTTTTAGAAACTGCAGTGTGACACTATCTACTACAAACCTGCTGAGCCACACCCACAGTGAGCATGTGGCCGCAAGGCCCCTGGTGGACACACCTAAGACAGAGCTGTAAGAGGAGGCTGACTTAGGAAGCTGTGGACATTTCCACATTCACCCACAGTCACTACAGAGGGTCGGGGAGGCCCCCCTTCCCTGGACCCAGGCCTCACAGCTGTTATTCTGAGGCTCCATCAACATGAGAACGCCTACCCAGCTGTCTTGGCATGGCATACAAGTTTGCTCACGTATGCATAGTCACCTCCCTTCAAGATGCTTTAAACCCCAAGAGGCGACTCCCATTTACATTGTGACCCCCCCACCCCCCAGCCACTCGCTGCTCCAGCGGAGCAGAGCTCTTGTCCCTTTGCCACATAGACAGACAGAGCACCTACTGAGTGCCAGGGGAAGGAATAAGTAAGTGCGTGCCAGGATGGTATGGTATTGACCAGGTCAACAGGTAAAGCTACATCTTCAACCTTAATACACTTTTTAAATGAGTAAAGAACTTAAATAGAACATTTCTCAACAAACACACACAAATATAAAATGCATACAAAAAAATTAGGCCGGGCAGTGGTGGCGCACGCCTTTAATCCCAGCACTCGGGAGGCAGAGGCAGGCGGATCTCTGTGAGTTTGAGACCAGCCTGGTCTATAGAGCTAGTACCAGGACAGGCTCCAAAGCCACAGAGAAACCCTGTCTCGAAAAACAAAACAAAACAAAAAAATTAGGAACCTTAACTCATGGGCCTCTCTGTTTCTCTGTCTCTCTCTCTCTTAACTCATGGGCCTCTCCGTCTTTCTGTTTCTCTGTCTCTCTCTCTCTCTCACACACACACACAAACACACACACACAAAGAGTCTCCTGCAGCCATGTCTTCAGTTCCCAACTCCAGGGGGTCCTACATCCTCTTCTGGTCTCCATGCACTCCTGTATTCCCTCATGCAGACACACACACACACACACACACACACACACACACACGCTATTGAGAATAAAAACCACACACTGAGACACTATTTGACAGGTCACTAAGATGGCAATCAACAAATAAAACAGAATAATGTAGACAGAGCTCTGCAGAGACCAGAGCTTGGCTGGGGGACTTGGGTAGCTGCTGCGGACAACACGTGGTGGCTCTCCAGAAGGTTAACACAGAATTACCACAGGACTGGGGGATCTGATGGCACACACCTTGAATCCCAGAACTGGGAAGTGACGGTGGGTTGAGTTCTGTGAGTTCGAGACCAGCCTGGTTTACACAGTGATTCCCAGGACAGCCTTGGACCGAGTCTCAAACAAAAAGAATTCTCCACAGGATCTAGCAATTTCACTTGTAGAGGTAGAGACCCCAAAAGAACTGAAAGCAGAGCCTCGAACCAATTAAGCATCCAGGAATAGTCCAAGTGGCAGCATCTACAGTAACAATCAAAGGTAGAAACAAGCATGCAGGGACGGCAGGGTAGACACAAGGCTGACAGGCGCTCTTCAGCTTTGTGAAGAGAGGAGACTGACTCATGCCACAACATGAACGAACATGAACACCCAATTGGGGGGAAGAGCGACACAGGGAAGGCAAGTAACTGAGTGTGTTCACACAGATGTTCCAAGGACAGGGCAGTTCACAGCTACAGAACGTACAGAATCTTCTGGGGCTGGGGAGCTGAGGGGGAGGCTTCCTCTGGGACGATGAGTGTGTTCTGTCAGTGGATGGGGGTGTTGGCGCCCAACATGCACCAAATACCTCCAACAGCTACAGGGGTTATTTATGCTACACATGATTTGTTTCTGAACACACAGACATATACACATAGACACATACACACAGACACAGAAACACACATACACACACACAGACGCACACTCCCAACCAGAAATGACTTTTCTATCCATTTTGTCAGGTTGGAACTATTTCTAAGGACTTCCAAGTCCCCCAAAGCACACTCACCACATGGCCTGGACAGACACGGGCTTGAAGACGTGCATCCTGCCGGCTGTGCTCACACTGAACCCACTGAGGAGGAAAACGGGAAAGAAGTGAGCATTCAGTCCAGTCACTTCCAGACTCTGGGTGCAGCCCCACCCCAGATCTGGGACAAGTATGCCTCCTGCTGTCCGACAAGGGACGGCAGATATGCCACATTAGATGGGCAAAAGTAGAGAAGACTCCTGCTGATCGGGGCTTGTTTCCAAGCTGAGTGTGAGCAGGGTGGCTTCCAGCATTACTTAACACCACACACTCACCTGTTTTTCTTTCACATAAAAATAAACTAATGAAAAAAACCTTTTTTTTAAAGAGGTGCTGAGATCAAAAGTATCCTATCACCGAGCCACACCCTGCCTTAACAACACCCCACGATCCCAGCACTTCCATTGAGCAGATCTTTATTCAGCCCAGAATCCTACTGCAAGAGCAGCTTCCCTCTCAACTTTTCTCCTCGTGCACCGCACTTCCCAGGAGTAAGTGCAGGTGGTACCCTGCGGCCCCCAACCTGCCCAGGCTGGGTGGCAATGATTCCTCTGCAGCCACAGAGCGGCACCTGGAACTCTGCTGCATCTTTGGCACCCCAAATGTGAGACCCTGCAGTGTCTCACTCACCTGTGCACTTCTGGGTCATAGCTCTGGGAGGGCCCAGAATGATTTACACAATACAGCAAACACACTCCATTGCAACAGACCTGGTGGGACGCGCCTGCAGGGCATCTCCTGAGCTAAATCCCTACATCGACCCAAGGAGAATGCAACACCTCTGAGGTGATCAACGTAATGCTATCCACAGACCTGGTGTGACGCTCCTGCAGAGGTGTCTCCTGAGCTAAATCCCTACATCCACAGACCTGGGCTCTGCTGGTGCTTTGGTGTACAGGGAAATAACAAAGTTCACAAAATGTTTGTCTATGTGTGACTGCATACACACGTCTATGCTTCAAGTGCATGCCTGCTGCACACGGAAGCCCAAAGAGGGTGTAGGATCCCCCTGGAACTGAAGTTACAGGTGGTTGTGAGATGCCATGTGGGTGCTGGGAATCAAACCTAGGTCTTCTGTAAGCGCAGCCAGTGCTCTGAAGCCCTGAGCCACCTCTCCAGCCTCCAGAAAAGTATCTTTTAAAGGTGTTTCCGTACCCATCCCCATCAAGGTGGATCTTGGTGTCGCTCCACAGGCGAAGAACCATCCCAATGGTGCAGCTTTTGCTACATGGAAAGAGAAGACGTCGGAGTCAGTGTCTGCCCGTGAACATGCAATTTTCCCTTAGTCTTTCTGCCGAGCAGCTCCAGGCTACAACTGCCTGGCCTGGCACAGAAGGGTTCCCAGGCTGTGTCCACTCACTGATGGATTCTAGAAGACACAGGCCTAGAGCATCCCCTCTAGCGGGAGCGAGAAAGCACCTAAACTGTTTTGGTGTGGCTGTAACTCCACAACTAGAGGGGCTCTTGGGATCCTGGGGCAAGCAGCTGATCACAGGCCCCCACTATGGTGGGGAAAATTAGTAGTATCATACCAACTGTGGAGCCCAGGCAAGTCGTGACAGCCCCTCCCAGGCTTCTGTCCTGGGTAACAGGAGGTCCCTACACCCTGCTCATACTCAGGCTTCTGTCTGCCTACCTTTTGTGTTGTTGCCACTTTACAAACTAGTTCAATCCGGTTCTGTTTTGCCCATCCTAGCAGAGAAATGATACTCACCTACTTTAGAGACGGAGGGTTTATCAGGGGCTCCTCAGACCTATGATAAAAACTCTTCAGGCATTTAAAGAGCTGGCTTCTGAGAGACTGCTGCAACTGTGCCAGGGCAGCCCCACGGGCCTCAGGAATTCCAAGAGTCTATCCATCTCTCCAGGGCTACGGCTCTGGGAGCGGGTGGTGGTGAGGGAAGAGTATGGGGTGGGATGTGGGGGTGGTGTTATTCCCTCCTGGGCCCGAGTGACAGGAGCTCTGGGGCTCAGGGAGCCGACCCCACTCCAGAGCTCTGCCTACCTCGCGCCATCCTGCCTTTTAGTATCTGTGAGGAGGAAGTTTCAAGGCTTCCAGATTAAACTAGACTAAGCATCCAGGTTGGCAAATTCCCTCTGTCCCTCTCGCAGTCCTGCCCATCCATCAGCACTGGGGGCTGCAAAATGAGACACGTGATGAGCCCCACAGGGCTCTGAAGACTTTGCAACTGTGTCAAGGCCAAGAGAGCATCCTTTAGATGTCCCAAAATGACAGAGACTGTTTGGGTACATACCCTGGGATGTGTTAGCAGGTCTGGAACCTTCCAGGGGAAGCAGAGGCTGAAACTGTCCATGAGACAGTTCTATCAATCAGAAGAAGCGTGACCGGCTGGCACACCAGTGGACAGATGTCCCTGGAGGACTAGGGCCCAGCACACTAAGTGACTGTGACAATAACGGCTGTCATTACTGTGACTCTCCGGCATTGCCATGCAACTCCCAACAGAGCAGGACAGTGACGGTGGCTCTGGCGTGACACACACAGGAAGTGAGGCAGGGACTGGTTAGGGAAACTGCATCTTCACTACTGTCACAAGTGACAGACGGCCCTGAAGAAGGAAGTAGGTGGGAGCAACTGCGGGAGAAGGGAGCAGGTTGCAGGTCCCTGTGGGTCAAGAACAAAGCAGCTAGCTGGACCTGGGCCAGCCCAGAGGTGCAGGGAGGAGTCACAGGCTTGGGCAGAGAGCCTGCTCTGGAAGCTTTCTACAGATGCGGGGAAAAGTGGATGGAGGGTGCTACACCAGCTCATGGTACTCAAAGGGTCCCTGAACTGGAAGCAGAGGTTAACTCAGTCCTGAGAAGGCCTAAAGAGGTGCCTGCAGCCACCACAGCTCCAACATAGCCTTTTTACACAGTTCTAGTAGGTTCTTTCACTGGGAACTCATGAGAACACACTCTCTCAGGGGTTTACACTTTCTGCACCCCGAAAAAACAAATCTCATGGCAAGAATTTAGGAAGAGAATCATTGCACGGGTGGGGCAGGTTGCTGGGGAGGCCCAGGGAGAATAGAAGTCTGGTACTCAGGGCTACAGAAGCAGCTGAGAAGGCCAGACCTGTCCTAACCCACCTCCTCCCTAATGATATATCCGGACACAGAGAACATGTGTCCCTGTTCCTCTGTCCCCAGTGCGGAAAAGGCTTCAGTTTCTTACCAGTCTCTTGACCCCTTTCTATTTTTCTTAAAAGTAATTTTAAAGCCGGGCGATGGTGGCGCACGCCTTTAATCCCAGCACTCGGGAGGCAGAGGTAGGCGGATCTCTGTGAGTTCGAGACCAGCCTGGTCTATAGAGCTAGTTCCAGGACAGGCTCCAAAGCCACGGAGAAACCCTATCTCGAAAAACAAAAAAACAAAAACAAAAACAAAATCAAAAACAACAAAAAAAAAAGTCATTTTAATTATTTACTTATCTTCCATGAATGGGTATTTTGTCTGTATGCCAGTAGAGGGCATCAGATCTCAATAGTTGTGAGCAGTAATGTGGGTGCTGGGAACTGAACTCAGGACCTCTGGAAGAGCAACCAGTGCTCTTCACTCCAGATCTGTGGAGACCTCTAACTGCCCTGGGGTTGACCCTGCACCCAGGCTGGAGCTCTAACTCAGGGCCTAGTTAGGGAGACACTGGACACACAGCACAGGCAAGACGACCACAGGGAGAGAGGGACTCATGAGAACCAAAGCTAGAATGCCGGGAGGTGGCAAGGAAGGACAGGCACATCAGAATGGGAGGGAATGAGGGTAGGAGCCCGCAGACTGCAGCTGGAGGCTAACGACCTTCCATGGCCTTGAACTGCACTCCCAGCACGTGAGAAGGGCTAACAAGTACACACACAAGTACCCGAATAAGTGAACGCACAAGGCATGCATTTCTGCAAACATCAGGAGAGACACGGTGCTGGACAGAGCTGTTTCCCCGGGGGGTCACAAGCTGCCACTCTGACTCTGCCCCTGTACTTCAGCAACCAGAACAGAACCGTTCAGTGGTAGCCAAGTCTTCAGCAACAAGAACTGTCTGGGGAGGACCAGGAGACTGGCACCGGGGATTCTTGCTGTCGCGCCCCTTCCACACATGACCTTGGGAGATCCCAGACTCTACAAAGAAAATGATGGCTGACTGAGAAAGCAGCCTACACGATGTGGAGACCACAAGGTCACCATGCATGATGAGGGACTCTGAGGTGATATACATATCCCCTCACCAGGGCTCTGTGAGAAAGCCCACTAAACTCACTGGTCTCGGCAAATTGGATTTTGGTGAAGTCATCCTTACATCTGTCTGGGATGACTGGACATTCCCGTGCATCCCCTGAGGAAAAGTTAATGCAAATGGGGTATGCTGAGTCTGAGTCCTGCCCAGCTACATCATGAGTGACCCTGGTGCATTCAACTCAGCTTCTCAGAGCCCTTGAAGTGTAAGGACCAGGCCCTTACCCACGGGGTGCACAGGATAAGCCAAGTGACAGCACCAGGCTCTGCTACAGGATCAGCAGAGGTGACCAGGAGAGTGGACTCTCATGAGGCTTCTGTAGTAAGGACTGATATAGGGGTGTTGGGGATATCTGTATACTGCATGAAGGTGTATTGCTGTGACTGGTGTAATAAAAATAACCAACAGCTAGGCAGGAGATATAGGGGGGCTTCCAGGTAGAGAGGATGGAATCTAGGCATGCCAGAGATGGGAGAAGACACGGAGGAAGCAGAATGGGCAGCACATGACAGAAGCAGATTCATAAAACCACATTAACTTAAGTTACAAGAGCTAGTGAGACAAGACTAATCTAAAGCCGAGCTTTCATAATTAATAATAAGTCTCTGTGTCATTATTAGTGGGTTGGCTGTCTGACAAGAAACTACTGCTACATGGGGGTAGAGGCTACAGGAGACAGTCGTGTCGTCCGTGTCCCCCCCCCCCCCCCCCGTTCAGTACTGGAGGAGGTTACCAGCATGGAAAAATTACTGTCCCTGGAAGATTCCTACAGGGCTAGGACATCAACTGAAAAACCGTAACTTTGACACTGCCACACACTAGTGCTCGAGTCTGAAAAGCTCAAGTAGGGGGATCACGAGTTACACACACACACACACACACAGAGCTCCCACACTGCTCTCCCAATGACTAGCACACTGGCTGGTCTTCAGAGCATCCCTCAGTATGCAAAGCCACAGACGCAGCTCCTCCCTGCCTTGTGCTGCAGCAAACTCCCTCCCAGTGCTAGGAGACATGGGAAGAGGAGCCACGAGACGCATTTATCCCCTCTTTTATTTTCATTCACATGTAGTAAACAGGACAGTCTTGGTCACCAGCTTATGACACAGGGCTTAGCCACAAGACGACCCAACTGTGGTCATGTGACCTCTGGAACTCTTCTTGCTGCTGACCCAGCCTGAACAACAATCCGGGTCCACCTGCTGCCCGACACATCTGACCTCACCACGCTGCCTACTGGACCCTAAATCCCACTTGGGCTCTCACAAAGCTGGCACCATGCCATTGCTAAGTCTCTTGCATTCCTGGTGGTGACGTGGTCTTCTGCTAAGCTCAATGTGTGCTGTGATGTCTCAGCAGACCTGGGGCCCAGCCTGTGACCTCCTACACAGGATAGGACAAAAACCCATCCACTTGGCAATGAATAGGGTAAGATCTAGGGTTTGCAATGACCTCCTACACACATGTTATTTCATGCCACGCTAGGGTTACAATGGAATTTACTTGGCCTCCAGTCCTGGGGAACCGCAAGCCCTAATGCTTTCACCCAGGGACCTGCCAAAAACAAACACTGATCTGCCGTAGCAGATCAGACAGGGCACTTCATACAAGGCCCACCGACACATTCCTGTGCAGGCTGTCTGTCGGGGAGGCATCCCCTGGCTGACTCTAGCTTGTCCTTTGATGCTCACTGTCGTTCCCACACCCTCAGGAAGCAACTCTATGTAGGACGCCTCTCTACAAGTTTGAGGGCTCCCCCCAAATCTCTACCTCTGTAGAAACGGAGTCCCCAAATCTGCAGCACTGAGGAGATGGTACATTTACGTGGTGGAAATGGCACTAGGTTCCACCCTCAGAAGGAATTAATGCTGGCTTTGCCTATCTCCCCCTACAGCTTTCTGTCTCGCCATCTGATCTCTTCTGCGCATGCTCCCACTACTGTGATGTCAACCCCATGGCCAAAGAGAGGCCTCCCATTAGACTTGCAGTCTCTGAAACAGCAAGCCAGACAAACGCCTTCTCTCTGTAAACCACCCAGGTAAATACAGAGTAACGGAGAGCAGTCCCACGTCTCCTCTCCTGCTGCTCTGAGCCGCGTGCGTTCTCCAGAGGGATCACAGCGGCAGAGGAGTGAGAGCTGGAAAAGCACGTCCTGTTCCCAGAGTCTGGTGGCCCCAGTCTTGGTGCCCCCCCATCTTCCAGAGAGACTCACCCCAGCACACCAGGAAAAAGCCCTTTGCCAACAGGGACCCATCTCCTGCTCTGATGGGAAATGCTATCCTGAGACTCACCTCTCCTTACTGGAAAAGTCAACTCCCAGCAAAATGTTCTCCTCGGTGTCCTGGCGCCCGCTGGTGTACACCACAACCATGTAGCGGACACGGTCGGTCCAGACGCTCTCAAGACGCACAGCCTGTGGACAAGGGGTCACCTCGATGGTTTGCTCCCTTCCTCTGTCCACCAAACAAAGACCAAGGGCTTTAGTTCTTGACCCCCACCCACAAATCAGGGAAGAAATGAAGACCAAGTGCTTGTGAGTAGGACCAGAGAGAGTGTGCGCCTGGCACAGGGAACAGCCAACTGCGTGCAGTGAGGACACAGTTGAAATGTACAAGTTACATTCATGTTTAGCATAGATCCATAGATGCCATGGAGATGTGAAGTCTCTCCTGGCCCCTCTGGGGTGCTGGGCATAAAACCAGAGCATCATACACCCAGTGATGCCCCTGTCACCAGCACCCTGGTTGCTGGGCAACAGTGTGAGAGAAAGAGGAATCACGATCGAGGGGGGCTTGAGCTGCATTTGAAGACCACCCTCAGCTCTTACCAGCTTGATTCTGTCTTCACAGCGTAGGAGGTTGATCATCACTTGAAGGTGCTGAGGCAAATCACCTGTGAGGCCAACAAGGACAGCTTTAAATGGGAGACCGATTCCAAGGGCTGGGACAACACAGTGGTCAGCAGCATTTCAACATGGACCCTCAGGAGAATGTTATCACATCTAGGCAAATATGTTCCCTAGCAAGGAGGCAGAAACCACAGCCATGGCTGCGGAGGCGTCTGCCCAGGGCTGAGCTGTAAGGAAAAAGACTGAGTGTCACATGTCCTCTTCAAACTCTTGGGCATTTTTCACATAAGCTAGATGTTACTTCTGTACCTGGTAGACAGGGAGCATGCTGAGTGTCCAGAGGAATTATTTGAGGGAAAACAATCTATCATTCTCTTTTCATAGAAAAGAAATCATTAACGTGTCCTTTGTTCTTCATTGCTAAGAGAAGTAAAGAGACAGTCATCTAAAGCAGCAAATTTCCTGCCTCAGCCTCCTGGGACTTGGGACTGTGGGTACATACTACCATTTCCAGCCAGAGAAAGTGGTTTTATCTTTTAAAGACTTAAAAAAAATATGTACACATAGTGGGATTATGTGTATGTCTATATGCAGATGCCTACAGAGTCCAAAAGAGGCCACTGGATCCTTCGGAACTAGAATTACAGGTGGCTGTGGGCTACCCAACAAGAATGCTGAACACTGATCTTGGGTTCTCTGCAAAGGCAACATGCGCCCTTAACCACCGAGCTCTCTCCCTTCCCAGACCTGCTCCATTCCCTTTTATTGGACAGAGTCTACATAGTCTAGTCTGGCCTCAAACTCACGATCCTCTTAGGGTGGGAAGTGAGCTTCAGTGGGCAGTACCCCGGAGTTGGGGTCTGGAGAGTGTGCAGGGCAAGGCAGCAAGCTCACTGAGGGATGGGTGGGTGTTCCAGGGGTGTGGCTGCTGGGGCGGGATGCAGTGTTGCTAAAGTAGATGTAGGATCCCTGTCCTGACTTTCCTGGCCTTGACGCCTGCGTGCCCTCATCTGGATGAAAGTGCGAGAAATAACTCAGTAAAATCGACCTTTCCAATTGTGTGCAGAGCGCCAAAGAAACCCAATTACAGTTTTTGTTTGTTTTAATTCTACTCCAGGGAGCTGAGGGTACAGCTCCGTGGCATAGCACTTGCCTAATATGTGCCCAGCACTGCAAAAACCAGAGATAAAGTGAAGCAGTAACACTGAAACACTCTCCAGCTGGGAACCCTGGAAGGACAGCGCTGCTTATATAAGCAAATGCCCCAGAAAGCCACAGCCACCATGCCTGCTGCAATAGCGTGTTGTCCTTTTAAGGATGGACGTGTGACGTCTAGACAGTACTTCCTCTCTCGGAGAAAACTAGAATTTTAGAAACCTGCCCCTCGGTCGGGAGGGCACAGCTCGTGCTAAGTGTTCTTCCCACAATAAATAAGATCAGCAAAAGACAGAAAAAAAGCCACAGTGCCTCCTATCTGATCCTCCCAGCAACGGGGGACTCAACAGCTGCTCTGAGACACCAGCTCACACTGGGCGTTCCCTGCTCTGCTTTCTCTAAGAGCCGACACAGCCACACAGGGCTGGTTCTTTGCCTGGATCAGCCCACCATGCACCCCAAGTCACAGAGATGACAGTAACCCACTCCCGTGTCCGAGAAATGTCCAAATGAGAGAGGCATTTCACACATAACTAAACTGCTGACATCCCAGCCTGACATCACATCCAGATCGGAGGGCGGAAGCCTGGAGTGCGAGACCCTACATCAACTGGCTGAATGAACCTGACCCAACCCCACAGAATTAACCCTCTGATTACTCTCCATGGTGGTCAGAGAGGCAACAGGGAGAGGGAACATAGCAAAGCCGTTTGCTGGCCATCCCAGGCCAGCCAGTGGCTTGTCTTCCCAAGCTCACCACTAGGTCCCGGAGAAGACCCAACCAACCAGGACTGTCTTCCTGCCTGCGGGCATTCAAGGGACGGACACTCAGAGGAGCTTTCTCAGGGTCTGATACAAAATGGCTTCATACTTCCTGCCCAAGCTCACTCACAGTAGGGACACATTCCACACTTGAACAAAGCCTGAGCTTCGAGTTGCTGTATAACATGCCACAGAGACCAGCAGAGGTGGAAATGAGGGCTGCCTGGAGCTTGCTCGCAATTGCCACCACTGAAAAAGTCGGTGCGTGTTCTGCACTACACATCTGTGTGTCCGTGGAGCCCAGAGGACATCTTGGCTCGCCAGGAGTTGTCTCACCTTCTGTACAAGCCAGGATCTGTCACCGGAACATCATCAGCCATGTCAGCTGGTTAATGGCCGGCGAGGGCTCAGGACCCACCTGTTTCCACCACCGCACCCGGGTTCCTGGGATCGGAACCAGGTCCTACTCTTGAAGCAAGGGCTTTACCAACTGTGCCATCTCCCCAGTGCCTTGAGAACGTTTTGTTCTTCTGGTTTGGGTTTGCTTTTTGAAGCAGGTTCTTGCTGTGTAGCTTAGGCTGCCCTTGAAGTCATAATTTTCCAGTCTAACTTCCTAGATTACAGGTGTGGGCCACTGGGTCTGGCCACCTGCATAATTAGTGACTTCCACATTATCCGAGGCATTGGATGCCTGTTATGAAGATTAGAAAACCAAAGCTCAGAAGTATACCCTGCCTGTTCAGGAAATCATAAAACAAGGTTTTTACAGAAGCCAGGTCTGTCTGGCTCTAAAGCATGGTGGTTTGTGGTTTGTTTGTTTTTTTTTCTTTCGAGATAGGGTTTCTCTGTGTAGCCCTGGCTGTCCTGAAACTCGGTCTGTAGACCAGGCTGGTCATGAACTCAGGGTTTTGCTTGCCTCTGTGTCCCGAGTGCTGGGATTAAAGGCCTGTTTGTTTGTCTATTTTTAACAGAATGGTTTCACTAAGTGACTTAGGTATCCTAAAATACACTAACTATGTAGCCTAGGCTGGCCTTGAACTCATGATCCTCCTGCTTCTACTCTACCCTCTAGTGTTGGGCTCACAGGCTGACTGCCAGAATGCTCCAAATCAAACATCGTTTCCACACACCACACTGCCTCCTCGTACGGGACACTTATTTTCTTAAATGACAGCAGACCTAAATCTTGGTTGACAGGATCAGTATGTTAAAACACAGGCTGAGCGCCAGCATTTGACATAAGACACTGGGTAAGTAGAGGCCAAGCAAACAAAGTGAACCCAGGGGTGAGGCAATGCCTGGCTGTCCTGAAAGACAAAGCGGCCTCCCTACCATGTAAACTCCCTCAGAAGGACTCCAGACCAATGACTGTCACAAAGAACCCCTTGTGTCTATCTTGCATTCCACCTTCAGTTTGACTTCATTTCTACAGTCACGTAGTCTAAGAAATCCAACCTTGGGCCTTGACAGGCATTTTTACTCGTCTGTTTTTGGACCTACATTATTGTTCAGTCTGTCCCCAACTCTATTACTTCTGTCCTTTCCAAAAGGCAGCTATTATACGATAAAGGCACCCTGTCACATGAACATTCAATGCAGTCAAAGGCTCTTACATGGCCTCCTCGAGGGATTTTCGAATGTTCGGGTGAGCTATGAAGAACCTCAGAAAGCCGGGCGGTGGTGGCGCACACTTTTAATCCCAGCACTCGGGAGGCAGAGGCAGGAGGATCTCTGGGAGTTCGAGGCCAGCCTGGTCTACAAGAGCTAGTTCCGGGACAGGCACCAAAGCTACAGAGAAACCCTGTCTCGAAAAACCAAAAAAAAAAAAGAACCTCAGAGGCTGTCTTCAAGGGATAGCTTACAGCTGGGATGCATGCTGGTCCGTTTGTCCAAGCTGAGATGTTAACTGACAGAGAACACCCAGGGAATCTTTGCATCTCAACAACTAGGCTGGTCATTACAAACCCATGATGCTCTGCTTCCCTGGATGTGAGGGAAGACGACTCCCCTCCCACTGTGGCACAGAAAGGATCCCAACATAAGAGCTTGCATCACCTGCATGCTTGTGAGGGTGCTGAAGACTCCGCTGGCCCTGAGCGCTGTTCCCCTGCTGCAGGAAGAGCGCGGCTCCTTTCACCATGAAAAAGCTCTCGCTCAAGCTAGAAGAACAAAGCAGGGCACAGTTAGTGATCTCGAGAGAGACAGGCAAGATGCGCTACCGAGGGGACACCGAGGGTAGACAGGCTGCATGTGACATGCAATGGGATGATGGCAGCCGCAGTTCTCAGGGGCAAATGATGCTTTGGTGACGGACGCCTTTAATCCCAGCACTCGGAAGGCAGAAGCAGGTGGATCTCTTTGAGTCTGAGACCAATCTGGGCTACAGAGCGAGTTCCAGGACAGTTAGACTACATAGAGAAACCCTGTCTGGGGGGCGGGGAGGAAATAAAACAACAAAAGCATCAAAATGAGGGTCAGGCCTAAGATTCCTACTGCTTAAAAGACCAGCCTGGGCAAATAGCAAGTTTTTTTTTTTTTTATTAAAAAAAAAAAAGAAGAAGGGGCTGGGGATTGATAGCTCAGTGATAGAGCATTTGTCTTACAAAAGACCCTAGGATTAATCCCTAGTGACACCCACACTCACACACCCCTCTCTGTCACTCTCTGATACACACACACCCCTCACATACACACCTCTCTCACACATCTCTCTCTCACACACATACACTTCACACACACACGCCTCTCACACCTCACATACACACGCCTCCACACATACACACGCCTCACACACACATACACACGCCTCACACACACATACACACACGCCTCACACACACATACACACACCTCACACACACATACACACGCCTCACACACACATACACACGCCTCACACACACATACACACGCCTCACACACACATACACACGCCTCACACACACATACACACGCCTCACACACACATACACACGCCTCTCTCACACACACGCCTCTCTCACACACACGCCTCTCTCACACACACGCCTCTCTCACACACACGCCTCTCTCACATACACACACACACACGCCTCTCTCACACACACGCCTCTCACAGTAAGGCTAGGATGCACAAAAGGGCAGAGAAGAAACCAAACAACAAAACACATTCTTGCAACTTTCACTTATAATTCGGTTAATGATTTTCTTCTTTCAGAGCCTGGCTGCTCTTCCAGAGGACCAGGGTTCAATTCCCAGCACCCAAATGGCAGCTCCCAACTGTCTGTAACTCCAGTTCTAGAGAGTCTGACATCATTATACCAATGCACATAAATAGTCAAATAAATTATTTAAAAGTCAGGAATGTGAATTCAAGCCAGTCTAGCTATCAAGACGCTACCTCAAAGCAAGTTAAATCTAGCATGCCATCCTAAATGCTAAGAAAACACCATTTAAACTTGCATGCAGGCCAGCAGCTTCTGAGATAACTTGACCTCTATGACAGCAGATTCATAATAAAATCTGAACTTTTCCCCATTAAGTTCCCATGGTAAGGGGGCTGGAGAGATGGCTCATTGGTTAAGAGCACTGGCCGCACTTCCAGAGGACCAGGGTTCAATTCCCAGCACCCATGTATCACCTCACAACTGCCTGCAACTCCAGTTCTGGGGGATCCGACACCCTTACACATACACACATGCAGTCAAAGCACTATGCACATTCTAATGTAAGTTAAAAAGAAGTCAGTCAAAACAGAAATCGAGAAAACATCTCTCGGTAAAAAGAGACTGTTCAACTACAAATGAATGCAGTTCAGGGCTCTCTAGTAAAGACCTTTGAACCCTGACAACCTGGCGACAGGCCAAGTGTCATCTTCACAATATTTGCACACACGCACACCTTCCTGTGCACAGCTGTTGCCTGCACCTAGGAAGGCAGGAACACAGACAGGCGCCTCTGCATTCTTACTCCCTCCAGGAAGAAGGACGTTCTTAGCAGACACCCTGCAAGCACAGTGTCTCCTCCTATCCGCTGCAGATTCCCATCCCCATGCCTTTCCTACTCAGTTTTACAATGGAGCTTTCAGATATTCAGATCCCCATTATACCTGTCCAAGAATCTCCAAGAGCTGAGCCCAGGAAACTTAAAACAATCGTCAGTTGATCAAAGCAGCTGTAGGGAGTTGATTTTCAAGGCCAACATCAACTCTTTTTGTTCACTAATTTGAAAAAAAAAAACCCAACAAAACAAACAAAAAACCAACACCTCAGATTGAGCAGAAACCAGAGCAAGCTGGAAACAGCCAACCATGAACAGTGACCTTTGCCTTGGAAACCAAGAGCCAAAATTTCCCTTGGTTTCCCTTGCATTTCCTTTGGAAAAAAAGGGGACAATGATAAAGAGCAGACTGCGCACGCCCTGTGACCTGCTCTGAAGTTAGTTGTTCCTCTGTCTGATAAGAAGGGGCCTTCCCCTCCACCCATGGGGTTCATTAGGGCTCTGGCACCACCTCAGTTACTGTCAACAGCCAGCCTGAACGCTGCAGGGAGCCCCATTGCTTTGAGGGCTGTAAGGTCCCAAGTCCTGGAAATATACAGGAAACAGCAGAGCGCCAGTGGCCAAGATGACCCTCAGGCTGAGACCAGGATGCTGTGGAAAGGATGGGAGACCACAGACAAGATGAAGCTCCACGGCCTGGCTTCTAGGGTGTCCTGGGCCACTGCTGGCACAGAGTCTGGTGTTCAGAGTTGGCTGAAGAGCACTGCCCAAAACAGACAGCTGGCACCTGGTTTTCTATGTTGAGTTCCCTGATACCAAGAAGCTCAAGACCCTGTGACCTGTGACCCTGTGACCTGAGACCCCAGGGCCCCTCCAGGGAACCCTCTCAGACATCAATGTCAGTAATATCACACACCTTTCTGTGGGTACCCAGGGCAAGAAAGCATGCCAATCTACCAATCACCCATCCCAGATAGTAGACAAAATAAATAAATAAATAAATAAATAAATAAATAAATGCCCAAAAAACAAAACCAAATCCTTCTTACAAGAGATTTTTGAGTCCTAAGAGTTACAGACAGTCTGACACAGACAGAGGCAGCACCCTCTTCCTCCTCCACTGCCCTGGGAAGTCCCAAGCCTGCCCCACAGCCTAGTTCCAGGCTTTCATCTCAGCAGCACAAGCCGGTCAGCAGACACTGCCTGCTACCCTGGGGAAGACTGTGCAGTGAGGAAAACATGGCCTTCAATCCCCAAGTCCCGCCTCTCTCACACACACAGACTGCCATCCGAAACAGCTCCCAGGGAGAACATGAGTCGGCTGCGGCTTACGTACTAATGTGGACTGGACACCTCTGAACGGCAGAGGTACTGGGTTGGCCGAAGGAAGACACAGAAGTCGGAAAGATAAAGTTCCATGGCAGAGGCATTCACGTCTGTAGTAATCCTGCTCAAACAGACGGTGCCTGAAGAGGCCCCGCTGTCCACAAGTACAGGCCAGCCCGGTAAGAGGCAGTGGGGCTTTCCAGGGCAACACTGGAGTTTTCCTTGGATGATGGTCCCACCCAAAGAGCAAGTGGCTCTTGTGGCCCTCGCCTTTTTCTGATATTTTGGCTTAAAAAGGCCCTTGTCCCAGCATTTCCTGATGAAAAGGGTCCATTCAGAAGAAGGGAAGCAGCTGAGGGTTCTACAGTCATGGCACGCCCACGGGCTTTACTGCAGGCCTTGGAACAGGCAATTGGTGAGCACTAGAAACCAGGAGGGAAAACAGCTGGCCACCAAGAACCAAAACCCAATGAAAGGACCCCATCCTGGGTCAAAACCACATATAGGAGGAGGTCGCAGGGCATAGCTTTCTTTCAAATCCTCACCCATCTCACCAGGCAGGGTCGTGGGTGGCTGCCACGGGTAGTTAACAAGGCATTTTCAAAAGCAGCTTTACATCCAAAAAAAAAAGCTTGACTCACATTTATGGCTACTTGAGGTCCCTGGTGACCCTCAGCTTGGGACACTGCAGATGGAGGGACTCACACGTACTTCTGTGAGCATCTGTGAGAGGTACAAGGTGTCCCAGCAGGCCAAGCTGCAAAGCCAAAGCAAATCTCTGACCCTGGAGGGCTGGTGATGTTGAAAGCCTTAATTTACAGGTTAAGGACGGGACTCTGGCAGGGTGACACAGGAAGAGCTGGAGACTTGGGTCAGTGTCCCTGAGGGAAGAAGCGCTGAGCAGGAGCCCCTGGAAGGGCTTGTCCGGAAGCTTCCCCCAGCTCCAGCAGTCACTTAGTCCTCACTGGAGGAGTGACTGAATCATACACTTCTTACTCAGCTCATCCAGGAACACACGTCTTTACCGCTGGGACTCACTCCCATCCACGTCTCAACTCAGTGGGGGTTTCCAGACGGTGGCACAGCTGCAGCCCCTGCACACACCTGCTCTGGGGGCCCACGCAGTATCACCAAGAAGCCAGGGCACACATTGTGTCCCACTCCCTTCCAAGCATCCAGATGCAGAAGGCACAGCAAAGACCAAGGAATGGCTTGCAGAGACACCTCCAGGCTAGGAAGGCTTGGCTACAGAGTGCCTCCATGTGCCCAGGGAGTCACATCACCACCACCAAGGCTGTGGGACAGGAGACACCATTCTGTCCTTCTTCACTGAGCAGGGGTGGAGAGACACTGCGGGAGCAGCAAGGACACGATGATCAAGTGTTCAAGGTAGGCTTCTCGTGTTTCTGAGACCTTGACCACTGAGTAGACACATACACTCAAGCTGGAAAATGTAGAAGGCCTGGCTTGCGGTACAGTCATTAATCTGCCAGCATAAGAAGTTCTCGGCATCCCAGAACGACCATGAAGGGTGCTTTACAGTCTAGAGAGCTCACCCTCCATTGCTACACCTAATTCTTACAATGCCATTCTGCTGACAAAAGATCCATGCTGGGAGAATGAACTGCTGGAGGTGGTAGAGCCAACAGCAGGAGGGACTGGAGACGCCCCCATCATCTCAGTGCCCTACCTGCCCCATCCCCAGGATAGCAGGAGGGGCTGGAGACGCCCCCATCTCAGTGCCCTACCTGCACCATCCCCAGGACAGCAGGACTGCCTGTCCTGAAGTTAAGGTGCACCTTGACATTTAGATGGATTCACAGCCCCAGAAATTGAGGCTGTGAAGAAGGATGGA